TGTTTTAAGTAATACTGAGGAATAATCTCTAGTAGAAGCTCTTATGTACTTAGCTGATAAGGGTTTTCCATAAAACAGAAAAGATATCAAACTGATGGTGAAATCCTATTTAACATTTACTGGCAAAAAAAATTCCATTTAAAGATGATAAGCCAGGAAAAGACTCGTACATTTTTTTGAAAAAAGATGGAATGTAGTTCTTGGAAAAAGAAAATCTGAACTTTTTACAAAAGCAAGAGCTAACGATCTTTCTCTAAAAACATTGATTTTTTTTGAGTTATATGAGAAGACATTAAACGATAATAATTTATTTGATAGACCACTTTGTATTTTTAATTTAGACGAAACAGGTTTAGGAACAGATCTTACAGCAGGAAAAATTTTTGTTCAGAAAACATCAAAAACAGCTTATTACATTGCATCATGCGGTAAATCAATATATACTGTACCGTTTTGTAGGTCAGCAAAAAGTCTACCTCCCTTTGTTGTCTACAAAGCTATTCACCTTTATGATGTCAAAATGGACCAGAAAATGCAATGTATGGTGTAATAAAATCAGGTTGGATGGAAAATGTTATTGTTATGTTATTGGAATTTAAATGTTATGTTATTGGAAAACCTGTGTTATTGCTGTGTGATGGACGCAATAGTCATATAACATATTTTACTGTTAAAAAGGCTAAAAAGGACAACCATAATTTTACTTTGCTTACCTTCGAACAAAAGTCGTGCTCTTAATGTTGGTTTTTTCGCTCCATTAAAATCCATTGGAAGAAAATCTTTAAAAATTGGTTAGGAGAAAGCAGACATAAAAATATTGACAAGTCTGTATTTCCAACTTTACTAAAAGCTCTTGTCATTAAGATAAATAGCAAAAGTGATTCCTTAAAAGTGATTTTAATGGTCTTTACCCTATTGAAAAATTAAAACCTTTGAAGTAGGTAGTGAATATGCAACCAAAGCGCGAGGGAGTAGACGAGTCTATCAAAAAAAAAAAAAAAAGTTGTAAAAAACCTGCAGAGAGCAATTCATTCTGTACTTACACCTGGCAAAGTAAACCTACACTGACAGCACTTGCAAATTCAAAAAAATCCAGGCCAAAAAGGGCAAAATTTTAACAACACAAGATGTTGTAGCAAGGTTGCAAGAAGAAGAGAAGAATGAAGACTGAAATGAAGACTGTATCAGTAATATAAAGAAAACTGCTAGACATAACCAATACAGTTTGCTTTTTTAAATACATCTAAAAATCTATCCATATAAACCCACTCCACCTTATCTACTTTTCATTAATCGTATATCTTTATTAAATTTTTATTTTTATTATTAATGTTGATAATTTTCCAATTATTATCATTATTATAGTTACATTATTATTATTGTTATCGTTATCATTATTATTTTTATTATTGATGTTATTATTATTAATATTATTATTATCATTTAATATCATTTGAAATCATTTTTATCAGGTTTTTACTTAAAATTAGTTTCTAACTATTTGTAAATTTCCTTGATTGTTAGACCTTAATCAGAAATATATGATTAATTGTATATAAAATTCGACTGCTAATATCTTTTTATCTTAAGATTCATTCCTCTACTTTATGATTTTGCGGTTCTGGCTAGATCTCGTTAGATAAAACAAAAAAAAACTAAAAATATATATAAAACCTTATATAAAGCTTCTCCTTATATAAAACGAGATTGAAATGTCTACTGAAAAAATACCATATAGAGCAACAAACTCGTTTCATGAATTAGCAGTCTCTTTCATTAAACGTAAAAAATATATAGAATTTTTGGGAGTACTTTTTGATGAAAATTTGTCATTGAAAAACTATATTTGTCTTCTTGAAATAAAGTTGTCCTCTGTAATAGGTGCTTTGCATAAGTCGATAGTAAATCACGAAATATGCTTTACTTTAGTCTTGTACATAGTCAGCTTTTGTACGCAAATATTGTATTGGCCAGCACCCGTAAAACAAAATCGCTATAATCGCAAAGCCTACAAAACCATGCATGCAAAGCAATTAATTATTCAAATAAGTTAGTAAACCCATTGATGAAAAGAATGATGGTTCTAGATTTTGAGAAACTAAAACACATTAATTAAACAGATATTAATTTTTTTAGCGTTTTTTCAGATAATTTTCTTGATATTATTTTCTGATAAATATAATCTGCGTTCAAAAACCAGGTACAACTATCACCTAAGGAAAATTAAATGACAGCTGTAAAGTTTTCTAAAACGTGGTTCATCAGTATGAAATGATTTCCAAAACAAAAATATGCAAGACCTAAAAAGCATTTCATCGTTTAAACGGCAAACTAAAATGCATCTTCTTAATTCCTGAGATGTATACAGGGCCGTCCCGAGAAGGGGGACATAGGGGGGCTAGCCCCCTACGAATTTTTGAACGAAACGAAAAATTGGACACTAGTCGGCAAATTTGGATTTATAGTTGGCAGTCGGCAAATGTCGGAAAACAAGGACCTTTTTTTTTTTATAGGTAAGTTAGTGGGCAAAATTTTTTTTTTTTTTTTTTTTTTTTTTTTCAGCTTACAAAGTTAGTCGTTTTACAATACAATAAACTATTAAAATTACTTTACAAATATATATATATAAATCGTGATAACAGTGTAAACTAGGTTTCCGAAAGAAGATCACTAAGATCTTATCATCGGAACCTTAAAAAAAACATTTATAAACAATATAATTTACGAAAGTATACGTTACAATAAAGTAAAATATATATATATAGAACTTTTACATTAGCAAATCTTTAAATATAAATAATTGTTAACAACAAAACTTTAGGGAAAAATAATAAAAAAGTTAATTAATAGTACTCTAAAATGTTATCGAGGTAAAAATTAGATTTTTAATTTTGTTTTTAAAAAGACAAAAAGAATTTGGTCGATCAAAATTAACATTAGGTAAAACAAGTTTATTCCATAGGTGCGGTGCACGATAGGCAAGACAAAATTGATTAAAATTTGTTTGACAAAAAGGTTCGTTAAAAATTTTTTTTCTAAGAGTGTATTTGTTGCTGGGTTTTAAACTAAAAAAATCTTTAAAGACTGGGGGGATAGAATGTTTTTCCACATATAAACAAAGCATAAAATTTTTAAAACGTTGAGTTCAAATATATTTAAAATTTTCATCTCAATAAAATAAGGTTTACAATGAGAAAAACGATCAGCAAAGTTAATTATGCGAATTGCTCGTTTCTGTGACAGCTTTTGTCGGCAAAAAAACAGACACGGCACCCCCCCACCACCCCAATTAAATCTCTTCGGGACGGCCCTGGGTGCATATTATAGTTTATTTTCAGATTTTTGAGTTTTTTTCCTTTTTCTTCTTGTTTTAATATTTTACACTGCAAAAAAAGAAACAAAAAAAAAAAAAATATGAGCTTTATTTTATTGAATTTTTATTTCATTTTAAAAATTAAAGTGCTTTTTTAATGAGTGACTAAGGGGGCTCTATGAAAAGGTCGTGATGATAAACGCATCATCCTTACCTTCTTTGAGTCCCTGACTGATTATAACAGTATATATATATATATATATATATATATATATATATATATATATATATATATATATATATATATATATATAAATATAAACTAAAAACGTTTTTATCAAAGTTTTTATTGTAAGGAGGGGGTGGCCATTAAATTGAGTTATACAAACTTATGCAACTTTCTTTTTCACAGAATTGCAAATGCCCAGAAATTACGTTCGATTGAAATTTTACCAGTCAAATCCGTTAATTGTTTTAAAAGAGCTCTTAATTGCTGGTTAAGTAGCATAACTGTTGCCATGTGTGCGATAACACACTCGTTAGCTTTGTCAAGCACAACATAAACTAATATTTCTATATACCTGAAATATTAAATTATATACCTGAAAATTTATAATTATACTTTGAAAATAATAATTTATTATTCAAATACTTATGTTAAACTAAGTTTAATCTATCTTGTATAAACTATTAAGCACCTTATTTTAGGAATAAAATTATTCTACATAAGTTTGATTTGCCAAGGACATTTTTTATTTTGAAAATTTCATAACATTTTTCTTGGCGATGTCTGAGATTTTTCTTTTTTGTTTGGTCTCATATGAAAGGATATTTTTAAATCTGAATATTTTTCCAAAATAATTTTTATTTGCATAATTTTAACTGGTTTGTTCTAATCTTTTAATTCCCCTTGTTTTAAATCGTCATTGTAACAATATCAAAAACTAGTAAAAATTCTTTGATACAATTTTGCATAAGTAGCGCAGTACGCATATTCTTGTTCGCAAATAAAATAACTCATTATTAAACAAGACACAAGAATGCGGGCAGTACGCACATTCTTGTTTGCAGATAAAAAAAACTAATAAATAAGCAAGACACTACATCGGTTAATATTAGTATTTTTTTTACGTATAGACTTGCAGTATCATGGCTCATAGCAAGGTATCTTGGGTTAGCGTTACTTACTAGATTATAAAGATTCGCAGCTTTAACGGTTCAGAGTATTTAGTCAAGTTAACCATATTTACTTTATTCGTCATTTAAATAAATTGTGCAATTTTTCTTGCAACATTAAATATTAAAAGGAAAAATCTTCGAACGGAGCTTACAAAAGGCAAATACTTATCCAGCTAAATTTACTTTCACCAAGATATTTTTAAAATTTTATTTTTTAAACAAGAGAGTTATTATTAAGAAAAAGTTGAAAGAGCAAAAAAAGCTATTTATCAACATTATTTTACTTGACGTTAAATTTGACTTTTTCTTTTATTTGACTTTTATACTGTTTTACCTTCCCAAGGCGCAAAATTGCCGAAAAAGAGACTCATTTTTTTAAATTGTTGTTGAAATATTATATATTTAAAAATTTAAACACTTTTCAGTATTTTTGTTGAACCTTTTAAAAATGCAAAATTTTACAGTATTTTTGTTGATTAAAACTTTAAAAAAAAAAATCTAAAAAATCTAAAGTGAGAAAAGCTTCCTAAATATAAATTTTCATAATAAATAATACAAAAGATGAAATACTTCTGTACGGTAATTTATCGTTGAAACCAAGATTTGATCATATCACTATAAAAATAATAAAAAATATTATCATACAAAACGTACGCAAGATATCGTTGGCTTTGTTTTTAGTTTTATGAAATTTAAAACTATTTGTTATAAATTTCATAAATATATTATAAACTACTTAAAATTTAAAACAAAATAATAATAATTAATGAGAAATAAAAACAGCCTTGTAAGCAATATATATTCTCTAGATCATTATAATTTAAGAGAGAAATAAAACACTTATATTACCCTAAAAACAACTTATAAGCGATAACCAATAATTAAATAATAAAAAAATGGAGGAGGGGGGAGGAGTGCTATTACAATTTTTGCTGACTAAAAAAAAAAAAGATCTTCGTTTTTTGAAGTTTGCCGACTGACTGGTCTAAATTTGGCAACTGACTTGACCTAAAGGTCTACATTTGTTGACTGACTTGTCTAAAAAGGTCAAATTTGCCGACTAAATGAACGAAAATTTCGTTGATGCGGAGGAGGGAGTGCCACCTCCTTCGCGCCGGCCTTGCACCCAATAATATAATTACCAAATGAACAACATTGTGGGGAAAAGACATTTAGTTCATGCTTAGGTGCGGCTGCTAGTGTAGACTCAACTATGTTTACAATGAGTACTTGCACATTGTCAAAATAAGAAAATGTATTATTAAAAGACTTTGTTCAGTTTTAACAACAGTATTCCATAGAAGGACAAATAAGAGATTTAAAGTAGTAAATAAAAAAATCAGAAAAAGTAGCATAAAGAGTTTTTAGATGATTTATGATCAGAGTTTTTGTATGAATGTTTTGCATGGAAATAATCACAAATATGAGTATTAAATACATAATACATAGAGTTGTTAAAAAGGCCAAAAGTAGCAAGGCCAAGGCCACATGTTACAAGACCAAGACCAATGCCAAAAGTTTTAAGGTCAAGGCCAAGAGTTTTAAGGTTGGGGCCGAAAAAAGTTTCAAGGCCAAGGCCTATGCAAACATATCCAAGACCAAAGACTAACAAAATCAGGTCAATTATTAACAAAACTGTGGGTAGCAAGTGCTGTGACAATAAAACCACATGTTGTAAAAATAGACCAATGTTATGAGCAGAATTTAACGAAGTCAATAAGAAAATATACTTGTAAATATATATGAAAACTTTTATTTCTTTAACTTTATGTATTTTTTTTTTTTTTGAAGACGTAGTCCAAAACAATCAAGGCCAAGACCAAGGCCAAAGCAAACAATTTCAGGGCCAAGACTAAGGTCAAGGCCTTTATTTTTGGTCTTAAGGCAAGGCCGAGGCCAAGGACTAACAACTCTAGGTAAAAACGCACATTTTAAACGATTAAAGCCCAAAAAAGCATTCTTTCATTCAACTGATTAAAAATATCTAAAGTTGTCTACAACAGTTGTTCTTAAACTAAGTGTTACCCAAAATTTTTTTAAACTTTTATTTAATTTTATTTGTATTCTAAATTTTGAAATTTATAATACAAATAAAATAAATTTATTTGTTTAAATACTATTTATTATATGAAATATAACACATAAGTTAAACAACAATATCTAATTTTTGCAAAGAAAAAAAAATTATTGCATTAAAGAAAAACTGAAACAATACAACAAATAATTTTTTTGTTTCAGCAAATTATTTAGATAAAACTTCTCATAAAAATTGTTGAATATTCAGGTTATGCCTCAGGTTCACTTATATCTTAAACACAAAATTCTTATAAATACTTATAACTAGTGTTCATTTAATATTAATCGTAATAAAGAAGAATGGACATGAGTATGTCTATAAAAATATGTGTAAATTATTATTATTAATGTTATTTGCTAATAACTAATAAAGTTTATATTATTCCAAAAACAACCCCCTCCCCCCTCCAAAAAAAAAACAAGTAGAAAATAGATTATTTTCTACAAATAAAATTCTGAAGAACAAAGGGTTAATTTAAAACATTTAATAATAAATAATAAAACTCTGAACAAGTAAAAAAAAAATTAAATACTTTATTAAAAATATTTTTTAACACATGTAATAAAATACAAAAATAAAAAAAAAATAATATAGTCAGAAAGATTTTAAGAGCAGAATAGTCAAATGAAAGAAACGAACAAAAAATAACTGAATAAAATAAAACATGAGTGAAGATAATTTAGTTTACTTTAAAGTTGTTTTTCCCACCCATCTGGTTCTTATCTTTGTATGACAACAACCACAAACTCAAATAATGCAATAATTGCATAATTAATCCAAAATATATTGAAAATTTTAAATATTAAAAAAAAAAAAAAACTTACCCCCTCCCTTCAAGTATTGGCTGCTTTAAATATTCTTCCAATTCCCCTGTTGACATAAACATTCCCAAATCAGCCATCATTTTTATTGTACCCTATGACAAAATAAATATTATACAATATTATTATTAAAGAACTTTTACATTCATACTAAACTTTAAAACAAAACACAAAATCAAACAAAATGTCAAGTCAAAAGTTCAAGCAATATTAAAAAAAAAGCAAGAGACAATTTTCAAAATTTTTTTATTTGTACAACATTTTATAAAAACATGTTTTTATAACCTATTTATATGAGGGCACAATTTTCTAATATTTCTAATATAAAAGACCCCACAGCTTGCTATTTAAGTATAACATCAGCAGTATGTGTCTCATGCAGTATTTATGTGTGTATGAAGACAAGACAAATTTTCTAATTTTATTTTAAAATATTGTTATTTAAAGATATGATTTGAATACATATAGTTACCATCAGTTAAAACTTTAGTAAACAAGATTTCTGTTAAAAATGGAATAAAATTATTAAAATAAACATATTAATAACCACAACAAACCTCCTATACTATATAATTGTCTGAGTTTCTTTGCTTGTAACTTCAGTCATTTAAGATTGAATAACAAAAAAGTATGTGAATTTTAAATTTTTTTTTTTTTTTTGTCATCGTGTATAATAATCATAAGAAAATATTTATTTGAAATCTGCTGAAATAATTCATTTGCAAAACAAGAGTTTTAAAATTATGCATACTATTGAAATCTAAAATAAACATAAGTATTGAATAAAATGATCAAACTAAGTACTAGTATTATTGAGAGTCACAAAAGTTAACTATGCTTGAAAATTTTTTAAAATAATTTTCAAATATTAAGTACACATTTTCTTTGAAATCAGTGAAATTTTAAAATACTATAACTTTGGTCAATTAAGGATTATGTGTAATGTATCACTAAATGATAAAAGCAACAAACAGGAACGTTGCAAAATGTCTATTGCAAAAAATATGACTTTTTAATGTGTATAAATCAATTACAAAAATATTTATTTCGCCACACTGAAATAATTTGTTTGCAAATACAAATTTCAAAATTGTACTTACTATTAAAACTTAAAATAAGCGAACATTGAAAGTAATTATAAACTTAAAATAAGCGAACATTGAAAGTAATTATAAAACTTGATATTAGTATATTTTAAGTCATCTAAATAAGTTTTAAATTGACATGACTGTAGTCAATTATGGAGTTGATTGATAAAGCACAGATGGCTAGCGCAATGAAGGCTGTGGATGAAGGTATGAGTAAAGCACAGATGGCTAGCGCAATGAAGGCTGTGGATGAAGGTATGAGTAAAGCACAGATGGCTAGCGCAATGAAGGCTGTGGATGAAGGTATGAGTAAAGCACAGATGGCTAGCGCAATGAAGGCTGTGGATAAAGGTATGAGTAAAGCACAGATGGCTAGCGCAATGAAGGCTGTGGATGAAGGTATGAGTAAGAGGATAGCAGCTATGATATTTGGCTTCAAAAGATCATTTTCTAAAAATGGCAAACCAACTAATTAGGCAACAACATCGAACACATTTTAGTAGAACTTTTAATTTTTAAAAGTAATATTGGGTTTAGTTTGACTTGAAATACTGTGTTGTTTCTTATTTAACACAAAACATGTTTTGATAGTGGTCACACCTGTCTGGTACTGGTACTCATTTATTAGACATCATTGTGGCAAACTATTGCTCAGAACTTCAAACCAGTGGATTTTTATTAAAATTATAATTTTACATAATATATTTTATAAAATTTTGTTTCTAAAATAAATATAAAGCGCAGTTTTTAAAAATTGATTTTTTTTAATAAACTGCTTAAATGAAAGCATTTTAGTAATTTTATAACTTTAAAAAAAAATTTTATGAAGGTTTGCACAAGTTTCTGACATCTATAATTTGTATCAAAAAGGTTCAGACTAAGAAATTTTGATTTAACAACGAAAAAGCTTCAGCCTGTTGTGATGCTTTAGATAATTTCTGGCAGTTCATGTTTTATTTCAAGGTCTAAGGTATATTCATTCTAAATTTGGGTATTTATTTTAGAAGACAAAAATTAAAAAATTGGGAACAGAATCTGCAAAACTCTGCCTTTTAAAAATTGCTTTAATTATTTGAATTTTTAGATTTTCAAAATGGCTTCATAACTAAGTATGGACAAAGTGGTGCTATCTATGGTGTGCTGCACTTAGGGTGGTTGAAAGGATCTGCTTTTGCCTGGTGGTTTCAAAAAATATTTGTACCAAATTGCTGCAAGCTGGAAGGTTTTAAAGTCTTTTTTCTTACCAGCCATGCTTCACATGTAATGCTAGAACTAAAACACAAAAGCAGAGAATATTTTTCTTTTTAAGCTGTTGGCTCACAGATCCAACATGCTGCAGCCACTTGATGTAGGGGTGTTCAGGACGGTGAAAAGTAAATGGTGCATAATTTTTAGAAAACATTTTAACCAAAATGGTTTTAATGACAAAATAAGACTGGCTACCCTAAGTTATTCAAACAGCTTATTAAGTTAAGCTTCTTCAGCAATTATGCACATTTTTGATTTGAAGCAACATGTATTATCCTGTTGTGAAGAGAAAAAATAACAAATGAAAAATTATCTATTAGATTAATATTTTTGTATTCAAGCCTTACCAACACGACCTATACTAGTCTCCTCAATTCCGCAAATTTCCTAAGTAAAAAGTACAAGCAAAGAACCTCATGTACACCAAAGCATGCTGCACGGTTGTATGTGACCTTGCTTTATATGTTAGCATGCTCAAACCAGCCATCCCAGAGGTATGGCTGGTTTGAGCATGATTACCATTGCCAAATGCTCTCAATACCAACATACGACTAATAAAAAGTTATATTATGCTTTAGCAGAAGTTACAAACAAAAAAAAACTTCAGTAGAAAAATAGAAGGTTGAAATACAGGCTAGAGAAATTTCTGCAAGGGAAAAAAACAAACAGGTAGATTCAATCAAGGATCAAAAACGCTTGACAAAAGAAACTGATTTGTCCAACAAACCTAAACAAGGAAAACAAAAGTTATCAGATAAAACTAAAGTTGTTAATTGAAAAAAAACATTTTTTTTTATTGTAATAACCAATTTTGTTTCATAATTTTACTATAAAATAATTTTGGAAAACTATTTTCCCTAATTTTTGATGTTAAACTTGTGATAATGTCTTAGTGAACTGCTATGTTCCAAGTCTTGAAATTAAAAAAAAAAAAGTGATGCTAAAATGTATATTAGCTTTATTATGTTCATTTTCACATATATATATATATATATATATATATATATATATATATATATATATATATATATATATATATATATATATATATATATTTTAAAAAACTTTGTCAAGCTTGAGGTAAACTACAAATAAATTAAGTCAAGCTCAAGTAGGGGCTTATTTTATTATATAATACAGAATTGTGCCACATCTGCTAAAGCAACTTTTATCCTAGACTGATATCAGCCTGGGTGATAATGACCTAAGGAAAAACTATTGAGAAAAATATTGAAACTAAAACTTTGACAAAGCTATAACCTATTTTATGAACTTTTAGTTTTGAAATAATGTATTTTGATTGTGTATTAAAAATGTCCACAATTTTATTGTGTACATTTTGCATTTATTGCAAGGTTACCAATGCTCCCTTCAAATCCTGCTGTTTGAGATTTGTGTCCAACATATATTTTAATGCACTGTAACTAAAAAAAAAAGAATACAAATTTATGTAACTCTTTCATTGCAAATTATCTTTCATTGCAAATTAATAATTTGAATACGTACTTAGGAGAAACACCCTTTAACTTGTACTCTTCAATAACTTTTCTAAAATAAAAACAAACATAAGAAAAAAAAAAAAATCAATAACAAAAAAATAAGCACAAAAAAAAAATTAAATAAAATTGTATCTTCAAGGACTATATTTAAGTAAAAAGTAATTATCTCAACCATAAAAAAAAATAATAATAAATCTTTCCTATCTATAAAAAAGTTAACAGTACTATTTTTTGAAAAAAAATAGTACTGTTTTCGTACTTTCGCTCTTAAAATAACAAAATAAAGCTACATGGAGAATAACTTTAAAAAAACATGCTTTTCTTAATAAAAAGCTGCATTTCATCTTGAGTGTCTAAAAATGTATCATCTTAAGCAACTTCATCAAGTATTATCATAATTTAAATAGCATGACAACAGCTTATGTATTATCTCATGTAATCCATGGAATTGGTAGTAGATAAGCATAAAATATTGAGGATGCAATAAATTTTTGATGATCTTGTTTTGTTCTGACGTAATTACAAAATACTGAATAATAAAAATTATTACGAGGACGGTAAATTTTTTTAACAGTAAAACAATCAAAAAATATATTAACTATACAACCAAGAAATTAAAATAAATAGGGTAAAACACCCAGTGTTCGCCACTTTTTCAGACTTAGTCCGATATAAGTATTTATTTCTCACTTGTTTTTACATAAATGATAAATATTTTAATCTTAGGCTATACATCGATAGTTAGTCTTTATGATGGCCATAAAATAAATTACCTCTGATAATAAAACTGGGAGCTTTGTGGCAAACACTAGCTGTTGCTAGTGTTCGCCACAATTAATTTGTTTAAAAAATAGATTTTTTTCTTTTTAATAAAGATTTATTTTCAAGTCTAAACTATTGCTAAAGAATAAAAGGACAGTTATGTGTCCTGTTTTGTTTTTGTTACATTTCTCTTATGTGCGCGATGCCTAAATTATTATTATTTTTTTTTTACTACAAGCTTTACTATAGTTTCTTTGTTTTTGTTCTAAACATCTGTTCAATATATATTTTTTAATTATTTTATCCTTTTTCTTTTCCAAAATTTTTCCTTATTTCGCTTAGACTTGACAGCTTGGTCTAGTCCTTTGATGCATATTTTTGCATTTTTTTAAACTTGTATAAATATCCTTAACCATAAAGTTTGCGAAAAAATTATTAGTTTACCCATAAAAGAGGTTATACCATCTTAGGAACCTGCTCATCTTGCGCAACCTTCCCCTATATATATATATATATATATATATATATATATATATATATATATATATATATATATATATATATATATATATATATATATATATATATATATATATATATATATATATATATATATATAGACACACACACACACACACACACACACACACACACACACACACACACACACACACACACAACCTTTGATCGATTAAACATTTACAGTCAAACAAAAAAATCTTTAAATTTTGAAGATTTTTATACTCTTACAAGATTCTTAGATATAAATTAACTTTTTCTGAAGTGTATCCAAGAAACTTATAAGATTCTTCGTTACACTTTTTAAAATAATTGATATAAAGAAGATTTTAATATTGGTTGCTAATAAGCACTTAATTATTCTGATAAGCTAAAAAATTTAAAGAGTATAAATATCTCTTTATTCTAAATTTAAAATTTTAACCTTGCTTCTGCATTTTTTTCGCACAAACAAAAAATCTTGACCAATGTTGATAAGATATTACTGCTTACTCTAAATAAAAACACATAATTATAATTTTGAACAAAATCTTATTACTATAAAATTAGAAATATTTGTTAAAAAAGCATTTAAATTGACATACTCGAAATTAAATATGGTCAACCATTTAGTTGCATCTTCAGCAACTATTAGAAACTCTTCTTTTCTCTAAGATAAAATTAAATCAATTTTAAGTAACTTTTAACAACTCAAAAAAACCTTTTTATAATAAATTTATATATATATATATATATATATATATATATATATATATATATATATATATATATATATATATATATATATATATATATATATATATATATAAATATATATATATATATATATATATATATATATATAAAAATATATATATATATATATATATATATATATATATATATATAAATATATATATGTATATATATATATATATAAATACATACACATATATCAAAGATAGTCAAATAGCAGCTTGCGAGCCGCATGCGGCTCTTAGAACATTATTGCAGTTTGTAAGCCGCATGTGGCTCTTTTCAAAAGTTTTATTGAATAAGAAAAACTTGAATTATACATAGCTGGAAGATATATTGTTTAACAAAATGGTGATTAGACAGAAAAATACGCATTTATTGAGAAAAGAAAATAAACCAATGTGTAAAATTTGCAATTCTGAACTTGCTCGTAATAAAACATGTAATATTAAACACCACTATGAAACAAAACAAGTGTTTTTTTTGAGGAATACCAATTAAATTCATGTCATTAAAAAAATAAAAATGAGTTGCAAGCCTTCCCAGGAAAGGCGTGCGGTTTTTTGTCTCGTACAACCATGAAAACGTTTTTCAAGTTAGAGAATGTGATCATGGCCATTTGCGCAAGTTATATTATATGCGTTGCTGCAAAGTTGTTTTAAATTTAATAACTACATAAGAAATTAAAGAAAACTTAAATAGAAAACAATAATAGTTTAAATAATTTGTGTGTTGTTTTTATTTTTGTTTTTTCTTAGTGGTTATTATTATCACCAACAAAATTCAGTAGGTCAAAGCAGTAAAAAAAAAAAAAAAAAAAATTTTAATAATTTAAAAAACAATAATTTAAAAAATGACAAAGAACAGATCATATTATGTTGATATAAATGAAATTCTTTATACTTTTTTCAATGATAGTGTTGGATATTTTTTTTGTTTGATCAGCACTATAAAGGCTTCATTAATTTAATATCAAAAATGATATGTTTATCTATTTCTTTTTCATTTGTTTAAGTTTACATAAAGACACTATATATTTTTGTTAATTTTAACATAATATATTTTGATCACGTAACTTAGATAAACAAAATTTTTTTAAAGTTTTTAGATATTCTGAAAGTCAATTCATATACAAAAAAACTTCTTGTTTTTAAAATTCTGACTAGTAGTTTTTATTTTATACTCTTTCAATTGATCATGATTCTAGTTCTTTATTTTACGCGCAGTCATGTAGCTGTTTTTAGCATTTGTATATTTGTATAATTATAATGAAAAAAGTTTATATCAAGAGTAAAATTATTTGATCGCGATTTGCAAACTCTGGTAAAATATTAGGTCTTTAAAATTTTAATTCATGCAAAGCTGTGTATTTTGTTTATAAGGAGCAAATTATTATTAAAAGTTTGCTAGCGAGAAAGTTACAAAAAATAAAACAAAAACAATAAACTTATGACTACAAAAGTAATAACACTTTAATAATAACAAAAGTAATAACACTCACTAACTGCATTATAAAAGTAATAAAACTATAATAGTGTTATTACATTTATAAAGCACTTATTAATTTTAAAGTTCATTCTTTGTTCAAACAACATTATTAATTCCAAACATTTATTAAAGTAGAAAAGCATCTAGAAAAAATAAAGCGGATATTTAAATATTATTAAAAATTAAACAATATAAAAAAGTACTTTATAAAAAGTATAGCATTATGAAAAACGTTACTTAAAAACGCGCGATAATTTTAAAATCAACCAATAAAAAATTTTTATTGGTTAATTTTAAAATTAACGAGTGTTTTTACAGTATATTAGTAATGTTTTTCATAATACTAAACTTTTAATACAATACAATTTTATAAAGTTGCCTGTCACGTTTTTATAAGTTATTCAAGTTGTAATATTATTTGGACATCCACTTTATTCTTCTAGATATTTTTCTACTTCAATTAAAATTTGGAAATACTAATGTTGCTTGAACAAAGAATGAATATTAAAAGTTATAAGTGCGTTATAAAATAATAATACTATTATAGTGTTATTACTTTTGTAATACAGTTACTGACTAGAGTGTTATTACTTTTGTAATCGTAAGTTTATTGTTTTATTTTTTATTTTTTTGCTAACCAATTTAAGTTGATTTTCTCCTTAAAAACAAGGAACACAGTTTTGTATAAACTAAAATTTTGAATACTAGATATTTTTCCAGATTTTGCGTTTCGCATTAACTTAATTCAATCCTTGTTGTTACATTAAAATTATACAAATAAATTTTACAAACACATTGCAATTTTTATTTTGTTAGTTTTTTTTTTTTTTTTTTGAAACTTTTTCAGCATTATTATAAAACTTGCAAACGGCCGTGTTCAAAATAATATATTTGCATGTGGTCATACGAGACGAAAAACTGCATGTCTTTCCTGGGAAGGTTTGAGTTGCTTAAAACAATGTTTAAAAATTAACAAAATAATATTTCATCTTCCAGCAAAAAACCAAATATTAAAACAGAAGCAAGTTTTGTTATAGCTTGTAATATTGCAAGAAGTAAACACCCTTACACCAATAGAGAGCCTGTTAAACAAAATCTTTTAGATGTGATCTCAGTCTTAGATCCTAACAATAGCAAACTTCAAAAGTTGATTTCAAATATTTCTGTTTTTTGACATACAACTGAAAAAAGAATATCTGAGATTAGTGTGGAACAGCATTTGTTAAATGACTTGAAAATTTGTGAAGCATTCAGTTTAGCATTGGATGAATCAACAGATATTCAAGATAAATCTTAAATGGCAGTATTTGTTAAATATGAAACATCAGATGTACTTGTGAAAGAAGAGTTGCTGGATTTAGTAGAGATAAAAGACACAACTCGTGGAATTGATTTAAAGAAAGCCCTTGACAATGTTCTGGTGAAAGCCAATGCTCCTAAAACAACCTTGTTAGGGTCGCTACAGCAATGGTTTGAAAACAGATTGGGCTTATTGGTTAACTAAAAAGTGATTTTTACCCCATATCCAGAGTTTGTGAAGTGATCCTACATATCCAGAGTTTATCCCAGTTCATTGTGTGATTCATCAAGAATATTTAGCATTTTTATTTATCAATTGTTTTTAATTCAGTGCTTGAGATTGTAAATTATATATTATATCTAATGCAAAAAATCATCGACAGTTGAATAAAAATTTCATTAGTGAATTGGATCTTGCTGACAAACCAAGTGACTTGTCGTTTTACTGTGCTGTAAGGTGGCTTTCAAATAGTGACGTTGTTTATAGGTTTGTATAACTATTAGAACCAATTAAATCTTTTTTGCTGGAAAAGCAAAAGATATTTGAAATCCTTAACAATGTGAATTTTTTGCAAAATCTTTTATTTTTAACTGATCTCATGCAACATTTACAAAATCTGAATTTGTCACTTCAGGGAAAAGAAAAAAATATCTGAATTGTTCAGATTTTTAAAAAAAAATTTTTTTTTCAATTTTTCAAAAAAAGATCCTACTTTAAAAACTTTTAATCATTTTCCTCAAATGAAGAAGATGATTCATAATCCTAATCCTACGATTCAGTATGATGATCATAATCCTACGATTCAGTATGATGATCATAATCCTACGATTCAGTATGATGATCATAATCCTACGATTCAGTATGATGATCATAATCCTACGATTCAGTATGATGATCATAATCCTACAATTCAGTATGATGATCATAATCCTACGATTCAGTATGATGATCATAATCCTACGATTCAGTATGATGATCATAATCCTACAATTCAGTATGATGATCATAATCCTACAATTCAGTATGATGATCATAATCCTACAATTCAGTATGATGATCATAATCCTACGATTCAGTATGATGATCATAATCCTACGATTCAGTATGATGATCATAATTCTACGATTCGATGATCATAAGATTGAATCATACCGGGAAAAACTACAGAATTTATTTGAAGACTTTCAAAACAGGTTTAAAGATTTGTATGCTCTTAAATCATCATTAGCATTTTAAGTAAATCTTTTTTTAATTGATGTTATTAGTGATGGTTACCAAATTCTAGGAAACATACTTGAAGAAACATCTCAATTTGAAATGGGATTACTGGATCTCCAAGAAGATGAAAATCTTCAAATGCTGCATGTAACAGTAAATTTATTGGATTTATTTTATTTATTGAAATAGTTCCTGAAATTAAGTATCCTCAACTAAAAAGTATTAGTATAAAACTCATTTCAATTTTTGGTTCAACATACACATGTGAATCTTTATTTTCGACAACGAAAAAATCAAAGTATTGTGCCTATCTAACAGTGAACATTTGTTAGAGTTGCTTTGAATATCAACTACAAGCTTAAAACCAGATTTTAAAAAACTTACCAGTAGTGTTCAAAATCCTACTGCCTAATAAATGTATAGTAAATTGTGCAAGTTATTAAGCAAAAAGAATTTTCAATGGCTTTTTACAAAATAATTGATGTTATAAAAATAATTATTTTTATTCTAATTATTTTTAGCCTTATTTTTTGCTGAATGATGAAAAGTTCTTTTTTAATTTAAAAAATAAAAGTAATTTGAACTTAATTGAAGTTCATTGAAATTTTTATTTTTTATTTTGTAATGATTTATTTGTTATTTTGCAGTTTTTATTAACTTATGCTGTTAGGTAGTTATAGTTAACTATAATTATTATAACAACTATATTTATTTGAATTGAACTAGTTTAATTTGAATAAAAGCAAGTTTAATTCAAATACATTAAAATAACTTTTTTTTTAAGAAACCTTTTTATCTTTAGATTTTTATATCTTGCTCCCAATTATTTTTATAAGTAAATTTATGGTTGTTAATTGTGTTAATTAAAAAAAAAAAATTATGATCTGGAGATGCTTTATCAATTTTTTCTATGCATGCAGCCACACAAGTTTTTTGACGATGGTTAAACAAAACAAATTAAAGTAGAAATTGCTTGAACACCCATCGTATTCATTAGACTTTTCTTTCATTTTTGCTGTCCTTTTGATTTTTTCAAAACTTTTTTTATTTTTCAAAAATGCAATATCAGGAGGCTAATAGTACATATACATTTTTATGTACATACAAACATACATGTGTATATATTTTTAAATACAGGTAGGGTGACGATTTATTATCAAACTTTTATGGTTTCAGCAGAAATTTTGAACAAATATTTTTTCCCATAATTTCAATTTTTTTTGCAGATAAAATTCCAACTTTTAGATTAAATAAAACAACAACAAAAATATTAGTGTAAAATAGCTAAACTTCTAACATACTAAAAAAAGAAAAATAAGTTTTTTTTTATATAAATTTAAAAATTGGATAAATATATATTACATATTATGAGTCTAACAACTTTGTGTTTAATGAACCTTTAAATTTATATAAAACTTCCCTTTTTAGTATGATAAAATTTTGTATTTAAGGAGTCTTTTTTTAAAAACCAATTTATACCTACGCAGATTTAAACTATTTATATCATATAAATTTGTATTGATATTTATTTTTCATATAAGTTCGGATAGAGTGAGATTTTGTATGACAAATAAAACCAGCAAATAAACTTCTAACAGAAAAGTGTAGAAAGTTAAGTGCACATGCAGCTCATTGAAACTTCTTCAACAAAGAGTTATACAGACAGCAGCAACTATAAATAGAAAATGGTAACAGAACTGAGCTGAGAAACAATGTGGAAAACTGCGAAAATATTAGGCGCATTTAAGATGCAACAAAAAAATTGTCTAAAAATGGACATGCATTAGTAGCTAGATTTTTATTGTAACAACAATTTTGGTTTGACATCAAACTTTCTTGTATCTGAAAAAAAATAAATAAATAAAGCTATGCTCTCAATGAATAATACTTTTGCATTTTGCCATAAAATAAATATTAAATTGATTTTTGTAGTGAACACTCTTACTAATAGCCTCTTGATATTTTGAAAAAATAAAAACAATTTAACCAAAAGACTATTTTAAAGTTTTCAAAACAGATGGTCAATTACACAACACAATTAGTCAATTACACAATAGGAGTAGATTGTATGATTGGAAAGTGTATGATGGAAAAAGTCTGACATTTAAGTATATTTTAGCATATTTTTTAGTATATTTAAGATTAGTAGTCATATAGTGTTTTTAAAAGAGCTCCTTTTTACATTTAAAAATAGCTTTACTTTACAAACGTTTAACATTTAAAAAAAGCTTTACTTTACAAACATTTTTACATTTAAAAATAGCTGAAATTCCTTTTAAAATGACAAACTGCAATATCAAAAAATTTACTACAAATATAGGAGTTAATGAGAATCACAAAGCATTAAATTTTTACAAAATAGTTGAGACAATCTTTTCATTTGGTGTAATTAAAAGTGCAGATAAAGAACTTTTTAAATAATTATTTGTTATTTTGAGTTCCAAATGTAGCAAACTAAGTTATTAAAATGAATGTGTTCTAAAATACAGAGATTTGATTGGTTCAATGTTTTTGATTGTTTTTTATGTTTATTTTTATGTTGTGATTAGTGTGCAATATTGTTTAGTTACACAAATAAATTCTTATTTTTATGTAAAAAGAAATAAGAACAATTTAACTAACAAATTTTTATTGAAATAAATTCTTATCTTTATGTGAAAAAAAAAGAGAACATTTCACTTAATAAATAATTTTTATTGAAATAAATTCTTATTTTTATGTGAAAAAAAAAAAGAACATTTCACTTAATAAAT